ACAAATGGCCCAATCACCGATGATGATCCCTGGTTTGAGGCACGTTCGCGTGCCTCAGTTGCTCGCCCCCCCCTCCACCACGCAGCAAGGACGCGCCCCACGTGCTCAGTTCTAGGACTGTGGTATTCTGGTCAGAGTACTTCACTGAGAATATAAAGGTGTTTACACCATTTGAACCTCCTTTGCCAGTAGAAAAATATAATAATTGTTTTTTTACCCTTTTATCTGGCAACAAAACTGTGCGCCTTTTGGAGTCATCTGGTCCAACACCATGTGAGACTAGGCTCTAAGAAAAGCTGTCTCGGGTGTGGACCAATCAATTTCAAGGACAGTGCATACATTATCAGAGTTGTGTTTTTTGTTTGCATTCCGACCGCAGGTATTGTGGTTAATACAAACATGACTCCTTGTAAAAAAGGTGTCAGTTTTGTTGCCAGATAAAAGGGTAAAAAAACAATTATCATTATTATAATATAAAGGTGTGCACGTTTACACCTTGTTTGGAGGGTCAACTCAGACTGTCATCCTTCTTAGGGTTGATCAAATACGTACAGTTAACCACTTAGCTTCCAAGATCGGATGAGATCAGGCACATTCCGGGTGATTCCATAGGCTGACGAATAAGTAGCACTTGAATATTTTCTGTACAGGACAGTATTCTATACAGTAAATATTTAATTACATTTGACCACCATGCTTTGCTGGCTGCTTAGCGTTTCTCTCTTCACGATCACCCTGCACATCGCACCTCTGATTAGCACGGTTGGCTCTGTACGGTGCGAAAGAGGTTCAACATCCATAAAGCATAATTCATAATAAAGGTTTTTGGGTTAGATCGCGTTATTTATAAGTGTGTCGTAACCCTCCACCACCCGACATGGCCAAACAGTAAAAAATGTGTCACGTTTACAAAAGACAAATAGTTCACTACTTTAGCCCACCGGTGTGTTGAAGAGTGAATCAACATCATTGAAATTAAAAATAATAATAATATTGGTCGCGAAAGCCTACGTGTTATAAAGCAGAATGTGTATCTACACAGACCTACAGTGGTCATGTCTTCCTACGTCATGGTGTACAAAGCAGAGCATCACAATATGCTCTTGGCACATTTAAGTCGAGGTAAGATATGTTCTCTTAACAAAACTATTTCATTGATTGCTACAAGCCAACAATGGGCATAGCACACGGTCTGATAGGCCCGCAGACACGTAAAGAACATTATCGGCTGAAGCTTTGTGTGTCCAGTGACCCTATACAAATCTCATTACCCAGAAAAGGGTTACCCGGGAGCGTAAGCCATCCTCTCTAACTCTTCCTATCATACCCCATTCTTGACATTTCCCCTACAAACACACATCCACAACAGCAATTCTCGGCACTGAAATCCGTTTCGGACTATTTTCAATGACTAATACGAGCATCGCATTATCTGACCATGTACGGGGAAATACATTGTCACGTTAAATAACGATTGTTCTAAATTTAAGACACAGTGGAAATGTGGAACCCTGCATTTTGGATCAATTACGGATGAGAACGAAGCATTGTGTATTGTTTGACTGCCAATACTTTTCCCATATTTGGCACACATGCCAAATCGACTCACGAAACCCCGCCGTAATGTCGCAACCATGCTCTAGCTAGCTGCTCGGCGTTTCTCTCTTCACGACCACTCAGCACATCGCACCTCCGATTAGCACGGTTGGCTGCGTACGGTGCGAAAGAAGTTCACCATACACACATTGTCTCCAGCTCTACCCCGTACGACTAGAGTATGTGTGTCCCGAATCTACATGACTATACGCTGCTCATTCTATGCAGACCTCTACATGACTGATTATATGCAATTCCATCGGTAATGTGCCTATACAGTCTATGCAACATTCCCCTGTATGACTCTAAGCCAGTGTTTTTTTTCCCCTTTACTGCAGCCTGCACCCCTTTGGTTCTCAATCGTAACAAAAGTAGAATGTTAATAGATGAATAAGTTTGATGAAACAAAGTAAGTTGTACTTACGTGCCCGTAAGTACAACTTTTGTGTTTTCGATTATTTACCTTCTAACAAATAAATCTGGCATGTCTCGCACTCCAAGAAAGGGCACCTTCTGCACCCCAGGTTAAGAACCGCTGCTGCTCTAAGCCCTGTAGCAGGTGTGCTGTGGTAGGCGACATATTGCACGTGGAATTGAGTCCAAAGCCAATATAGCTGCCGCAGGACTCATCTTCTTCTCTACACGGCTGATGTTTTGATGATGCCCGCTCCATAAACGCAAATCGTACACAGGGCTAGGCAACGTCATTTGAACGCGAGGGGTAACACAAAGATTTAATTAATCACACAACGATTATTAAGCTCGTGAGAAGTGCGTAAAATGACAGGTACGGGAAGAGACGTTGTTAATGTGGCCACACCCAGTTGTGTGCAACGTGGTTCCATGGCGTCTCCGGCCACTGGAGGCGAAGACGTTCACGAACGGAGTTGAACCCAATCGCTTCTTGAGATGGATAATCGGCCCTGAATTGTGACGATTGAATCAGATAACGGGGAGTGCATCTTCAAACTCTCTATGGAGCACTCTGAAATACTTCACTAACTCTTTAATACGCTCTCATCGGTCGAAATTAAAACGGCATTGCATTGTATGGCAGCCCAGCTCAGGCAATGCCATGTGTACTTTGTTCTGCACAACCCATAGACAGTACAATACAGTACTTGACGATTATAACTCTGTATATTATAGGCTATCCACAGGCTACCAAGGACTCGTGCACTTTGTACACTCTGCTGGTATATTTGAAGCAATCACGCTATACATTGCAAGGTTGTGAGTTCAAATCCTGTCTGGGGACTGACTCAGTCCATCATCCCTCAAGCGCTGATACATATGAATAGCATTACCTTCTGGGAAGTTGTCATCAGCAGTCTGTGGATAGACTGGCTCTCGCCACAAAACCGTGGACTGTATCTAACTGTACTGATGTGAACTGAGGTATATTCCTGAAGTGAAATTGATAAGAGTGTTAGAGATTGGTGGTTTTTTTCAACCCATCGCAGACGTCAGCAGGCTTAGAGAAGGGACGGTTTAGAGAACGTGTGTGTGGAGGTAAACACTGTGCCTGGTGCAGTCAGTTCTGACGAGGAGGTCAAACCACGTACAGTAGCAGTGCGTTAGCAGCGTGGGATTTTGCTGGAATACATAACCGACTCTGGAAGGGTGCAGAGGTCAATGTTATTGTTAAAACGCAATGTTCGAGGCAGGGGGCAATGCCTGTTTTACTGCATGGGTCAGAGATACAATACAATTTGAATTTATATAGCGCCTAACGTCTATCGCACCTCAAGACGTTGATATTGAAATGTAACAAAACGAGGAGAAAATAAGTTTCGAACACGTGATGGCAGGATAGAGTGAGTTAACTTAGAGGTTTCAGAATTGAACATCAGAAGAAAGTGGTGTACGTATAAATCAGCACCCTCCTACCATCTTGATGTGTGTTCAGGATTGTAGGAGGGTAGGTTACGCAGATCAGCATTGGCGTGGCACACAGAGGCTACGGGGAAGACCTAAAGCCAGATGTGGGATGGGGCTTGCCAAGGTGAGATGGCATTCGTGGTATTGGGCATGATGCTCCCTTGATATTAGCCATATTGCTATTATTTTCATTAGACGCAATTCTGGTGGTATATGATTAACCTACTTGTTCCTGTAAAGCAGGTTTGAGCCCTATACTGCAACAAAACATACGTGCAGGATTCTTCCCTGACAGAACGGTCGTGCATTATTGCCGCGTCTACGCAGCTAACTTTTTGAACCCATCTGCTTTGTATCCGATGGCGGTATTCGAGTCCATACAGCACTGCTGTCTGTGACCGCCTTACTATGGATGTTCTCTACATTATGTATGATGCACCACTGTATTTCATATACATTACGCACCCCTTAGTGTAAGTCCGAGGGGACGGATGAGTGGTGGTACAGCTGTTTGCACTAACCGACATGGCGAAGTATGGTCACACAACCCCCAGGAGTGGATTAATTAACAATGTTTGGGAATAATTGCAATATAGTACTACAGTACTGCCAATGTAGCGCTGTATATGTATACAGCAGCACTATATTACGACTACATCAAGCAGCTGATTTGTACATCGAGAAATTGGTCTAAGTAGTCGTACAGAGATACACACTCCCGTGTGTCCTCCAAGTTAAATTCTCCCAGCTCAAGACCCGCTGCTGCGTTACTCAAGTCCAATTCCATGCAATGCTCCCGGCTCCCACGGAAAAAAACGCATCCCCTGTTTAGCCTTAGCGACTGCAGAGAAAGTGCTTTAAACCAGTGCCGATCAAGACGAGCTAAGCACTCAATGAGCTGATGTGGTCATCCATCGCCAAGCCCGGCCGCCTTTGTCTCCCAAACGCTCATGCTGTAACACACCATGCTATAACGCCCTTATTTACAGTCGAGTCGATCTAGGGGAGGCGCGGCACGGGTTCTGTTACCACTTTCCACTGACATTCGTGGATGAGAATGGAACCTTTGTCGCTTTGGCTCCGTAACGCAGTGCGCGTACCACTGCACCACCGCTCTCCGTAAACACACGCACGCACACAATGAAGCGCGCGCACACACACACAACACATCCATTACCAAACCCTGCCCATATCCCTGTCCCATACCCCCTCCGCCCCCACCACGCGACTCCAACCCATCCCACCAACCCAGCACCCCCACACCCCACACCGCACATCAACGCACGGGTTGAGTGGGCTCTCCAGTCCCGTCGCACTCGCCACTGAGACAAGGCACGTCGAGGTAAGTCTCGTTTGTCAACTGCTCCTCGTTGGCGGTGTTTCGTGCACAAACGCAGGGGCGCGCGCGCGCGCGTTCTCATCGCGCAACACAGAGAGAGGCGGGCCGAGCGAGCTAACTCCCCGGCTCGTATAAAAGGCACCTCGCCCTGCGAAGAACACGAGAGGGTGTACAGAGCCAGTGCTGTGACACTTTTACCCTCCATCCCATTCGCGCACACACACACACACACTCGCTCGCTCACCCACCCGCCCATCCCCGTTTGGCTGCGCGCGGGCCACTTCAACTGTAGGGTTCTCAAGCGCCGGTGCAGACAACGGAGAGACCCAGACCGCAGCCAGGAGTCCGGCTCACACACGGGAGTAGGCATCAGCAGCAGCAGCACTATAGCGTGGGTGATTGTGTGGACTGGCTCTGCGCAAGCAAGAGGAGGAGGAGGGCAATTTACGTTGAGTTTAGGAGCTCACGAACATCTCGGCTGACTTTCCCCGTGAATCAAGGTGGGTTACGTGTTCTCATTCCGTTGTTTTACAGGGACGTGAATATTGACGCCCAAGATTGCTCTAAAATTTGCTGTTACGCGCAGTTTGTACACACCTGTACCAAACAACCAGTTTTGAAGTCAAATACTGTTACGATTATGTCTGCATTGCCTAGCAAATATTTAACCGCTATTACTCATTGTAAAAAAGGTCAACGGTGCGTGGCTCCGTATGGCGGATTTTCATTAAAACGAAAAACTTAACGCAGGGAAGCTGTTAACGTTAGCAGTTGTGGCGGAGGGCAATGATGTGTGCGGTGTGTGTGGTGTGCATCACGCACCACGTGTGTGTCGTGAGGCCTCGCTGGCGTGACGTGGGCTATAAATGTCAGATTTCGGGCAGATGCGTGCAATGGGGACGCGAGAGTGAGCGTTTAACGCGAATGCGCTTTAATTTGCACCGCTTATAAACGACGCTTGCCAGCCTGATTTTCACGAGCGGCTGCATTGTATTTTTTTTTACATTCTAATACGCATTCATTTTAAGTTTAGCACCCGCTTATAAATGGATGATGTTGAAACAACATTATAAAGATACAAAACCCCAAAACTGCGACCTTCTAATAAAACACACACAAAAGAACTCGACCGCTGCTCTCGCAATGATGACTTTACACAAGACGGAGGCATGGCTATGCTGTGTTGCAGCAACGGCGAAAAGTTGGCAAGAGCACACGTGTCTCTATAATCCGTGGCATATCAAAGGAACGTGCGTGGCAGAGAGCGCTGATTTTAAACGAAACTCGTTTTTATTTTACCACCTAAGGCCTACTGAGCTATGTCGCTCTTTTTTTCAGAAGCGACCTGGCCACAAATGAAAGCTCAACGAAGTGGCTTATCGTGCACAGATGTATCGCAGCCGAATACTCTAAACGCGTGATGTTGATTCTAAATGTGGAGGGGAAAAACCGGAGGACGCGGAGAAAAATCCACGCGACCACGTGGGGAGAGACACGCCAACTTCAAATATAGAGCAGGCGTCAAGAGTCGGGATCGAACCCACGATCTCCTGTATACCAGGCGAGGGAATTAACATCCTGACACCATGAATAACCCCGCGAGACTGCGCCAGTCGTTCTTGTGACTTGGCAATAGGCGCGCTGACCACTGCTGTTCTGTGCGTTTGAGGCAAGGCAATAATAACGGTGACACGCAAATGCAACTCTTGGATGGACATTAGCTATACCTATACAGGTAATGCAACACGTGACAGTTAGTCATAACTTAACCGCTGTTGTGATGCATAATGTCTCATACGCGTGTATACCCGTGTGATATCGTATTCGGTTAAAACTTGGGTTTGCATGCTGTTGCCTATTAATAAACTCGCAGTAAGCATTCAACTTTGGGGCACAATCGATTGTGACTCGCAGATTAATTCTAAGAGCAAGGAACTGTACCGAGCCTGTTGTTTAGCATAACTCACGCAGATAATGGATGGGAAATCTGACGTATTATTTGATGTTAATAGGGAAACGTTTTTACGTACTGCTTATCCATTACCTCTCAGTTCTGGTTGTTATTGTGAAATGTTTAAATCTATAACTTATCACGATGTCTGTCTGTGACTTCATTAATGTCTCTCGTTAGTGTACTGCTTGTAATAACAGACCTGTCATAATGAGGGACATTGTATACTATTACAGTGCTACTGGGAAGTTTGGTATGAATTGTAATCAACTGTAGACAGTAGTAAAACATGTATACCTGTTAATTTTTACGTGTTACACTGCGATTTCAAAAAGCCACGCAAACATCAACTGATTTGAGGTTTGAGACTGTCAGACGATGTAACATTCGTACGAGTCACACGCGGACGGTAATCCGCTTGAACTATTGACTCGCAAACAAACTCTGTCACTTTATATTTAAGAGCAGCACATCTCATGTCACTTTATATTCAAGAGTGGAAGAGTTGCGCCGACAAATGAGTCATTCCTCTCAATTATTAACTCCGGCATTAGCAGTGACCTCAACATTTTTTTCTCTTAAAAAACTCGACATCCAAAGATGTTGCTTGATGTCATAAATAATGTCTGTGACGTGATGGCCAACGGGTGCTGGGTCTGGGCTGCGATTGGGGATGTAATTCTTGGAAACTAAATTTATTACTGATGTAAAATTGTCGCGCTCTCCAGCCTGTGCTCACGGATGCGCGGCATTAAATGAAGAATGACAGTGAAACTGGCACGTCTCCACTTCAGTCCATGAACACGTCTCCTGCAAGAATGTCGCCTGTTCTTTGAGTCTACGGAGAAAATAACGTGCATAGCTACCTGCCGAGCATGCCAGGGCATATCTGAGCAAGCGCATGCACACGTGCGTAAATCTAATTTCCGACTGCCTGTCCTATTAGATATTGGAGATAAAAAAATTCCCCATGCAAACGCAAGTCTCCAGTTGTACAGTAATACGCCGGTTTACGTCGGGGATGTGTTCCTCAAAGGTGCGAAGACGAATATCGAAACGACGTAAATCAAAGCGGTTTAAAGAGTAATAGGCGGAGGCAAAGGCGACGCATACCGAGAGAAGACGGATGATGATGCTGTCAGCGATGTAAGCGTGGCGTTGAGGCGACGCAAATCAGGTCAATGTATTATTAAAGTGACGACGTATTTGCGAAACGACGTAATAGGGAGAGACGTAAATCCGAGCACTACTATACAAGAAACACTCTTGATGTGGATTCCAATAACAACATTGGAAGAGCAGTAATTTTATTATTATTGTTGAATTGCAGCTACGACCAGCTGTGCACCTCACCCATCACAGTTATAGCACAGGGGCAGTCGTGGCCTGTGGCTGTTGAGACGACCCTGAAATTGCTTGGCACGATGATCATGATCAATACTCAATGGGCGATGTCGTCAAATGAAACGTGACTGGTCTGAGGTGTACAGCTGTCTGTTTTCAGCACGGAGTGGGGGGTGGGAGTTGATCAATAAAGCCTACAGGCATTGCTATCCGAGACTTGAACGAGGTGTACGTATGTATGTTGAACTTCTTTCGCTCCGTACGTAGCCAACCGTGCTAATTGGAGGTGCGAACCGTGTGGTATTTAATGGAAGCTAAAACAATACTAGAAGGATATGCATTTATGGAATTGTTAGAAGTGAATAATATAGAATTGGGAGTGAATTATGTGGTAGGAGGTGAACATTCGTGAAAATATATTCGAAGATATTCATGGAAGTTACAGTCCTATGCATAGGGGAAATGCATACTGTACTGTACATTTTGTAAGTAACAAAAATGTGGATTAACGTGAATAAACATATGGATTAAGTGAATTTAATAAAATTTTATATACTGTATTTATCAAAATATTTGCCCAGATAATGCCTTGAGATGGAATAGTCGCTGAATATCGTAGGGAGGAATTAATCCAACAGTCGATTGATAATGGGTGTGGATTGTAATTGCTGTTGACTAATACTATGAATAAATAATCCAAATTGGATTTGAAGGTAGGTTTAAATTGCACCTGTCTTTGAACGATAATAACGTTAATGAAAATAAATACCACTCATGCAGATGAGTACGAATGTGAATGATAATACCATCATAACAAATTATATACAGTAAATGATAATTATAATTCTATTTTTGGAGATAATACGCAATGTTAGTAAGTAATAATAGGGCCATTCGAACAGAGTTGAAATTACTCAAAGTGACGATAATGATTTTGCAAATATCATTCCTAATAATTGTTACGGAAATGTCTAATTTATTCTGATTGATTGACTCTAAAGGAACCTCAGCAGTTTGTAGGATTCTTGTCGAACGGTATAAAGCATAAGCTTTTGCTTGGGGTGGTGTTGCGGTGGTTAGTGGCATTGCGCTACAAACCGGCTACATACCTGGGTTTCATTCCTGGCCTCAACTAACGTCAGTGGCGAATAGCTGAACAGGTCACGTGTCACTGGGGAAACAAAGAGGTTACCGTGCGTGGTGATAGCTACACTATCCTCTTTGCGCCGTGACGGCCTTCATAGATGTTCGCTAAAAGCAAATTGCACCCAACAGCCTGTGGAGGCTATATGGGGAATCTTTGTTTTATGACATTACTCAGCCTGAAATGAGTACCTGGGGCGGCAGAAAAACATCGGGAAATGACGGAGAAGGGGGGGGGGGCTCTGGCTCTGTGGGAGAACTGAGTATCGTGTTTTTATACGGAACCCCAGAAATGTGCGTCTGCTAGACGCACTCACAATCCACCACTGTAACACTGGTCAACAAAAAAAAATTCTGGCCTGGACTTTTGAAGCTGTTTTAGACGAATTTCAGGGTGCTGATTCCAAATCTTATCTCAGATTTGCCCTATCACATCTCATTTTATGCTATCGGCATACCCCATTTTCATTGATTTTACCCGAAATTAACTCTGTCACTTATGATTGCAAGTTGTTGCGAGTCAGTGACTGCTTTAGTGTTAAAATATGGTGCTATATTTTTAGGATAGTGTGTTTCTAATATAATTTTATGTAGATATCCACATTTTTTTAATATTTTTCTTACGCAGTTTTTATTGAAAATGCAACATTTGATATCTCAAAAACCTGATGTGATCGACGAAAACTGATGCCAAATTTGGAATCAGCACCCCAAAATTACCTTGAATCCATTGGAATACCTTATGCCAGAGAAAGTGTGTTGACCAGTGAATCCTCGATATCGATGGGCGAGCACATTACTGTGATCACTGCCCAGCAAACGTGCGTCGAGGGCCAAAGCTGCAGAATGAGAAGACAAATAAGTATAACCCGTAAAAACAAAGTTTTTCACTATAAATCCTTTATATGCGTGGCGGCTAGAGTCCTCTCGTCCTCTGGCTTGAGATGGCTGCCACCTATGGGTCTGATGATTGTCTGCCAGTATTAAGCAATTGATAATTAAATATTTAATTTGTTTTCCATAAACAGTGTAAAATTTTGGAAAAAAATTTTCACGAACATTAATTGTCTGGCACAACGAGTCTGTGTGGAAAATGTCAGCTCGATTGGATCACGGGAAGTGGGTTAAAAAACGACCGAAAGATTTGCACGGTCCTAAACAAGCAAGCAAGCACGCAAGCAAGCGAACTTAATATAAAGGATTTAAAAAGACGTTGTACTCTGAAGGGAGTTGTGATGAGCGCCGACGTCTTTTCGCAAGCATGCGTCTGTGCTTCCCAACAGGTTGGTTGGAGCGACACGAGCTTAAGGCTTTACAACTTGGGGAAATGGCTCTGGATACTTCTGTAGTTTGCAGAGGTCATACACATCAAGTAGTGTAAATTCCCCTATCATGCACCGATGTTTGCTATATCATTATAGCCATTGAGTGATTGGAGAGACTGGGGTCAATCTGATAGCAGTCGGTGAAAATGTATATTTACATCTAGAGTGCTGTATTAATTGAGCATAATTCAAGTTTTACAAGTTTGTGTTGTCTCCAACCAAGTAAACTGAAAGTGTCTTTCTTTTGTTTCTCATAGAATATCTACAAAAAAATATCATCCCATAGTTGTGTTTGAGCTGAGGAAATATTGTATTTTCATGTTCGGCTACATAGAGAAAATGTGGTATTTTTTAATATTGCAGTGGCACACGGTGACTTGCTGCAGCACGCTACGGGCGTTGATTATTTCATGCAACAGCTGTATGACACAAACAATTCAAAGGAATATCCGACCCAGAAAAGTGTTTAGGTAAATTCTAGACTTGAAGCTTTCGTGACTGCAAGGATTCATACTCTTAGGTTTTTTCGGTAAAGTCACGTAGGTAAAAACAAATAATAAAAATAATAGAAATAATATAAATAAAATAATAAATCATGTATTTTTTATTTCAAAATTTTTTTTTACCTACGTGACTTTATGTTTAGGTAAAGTCTTTTTTGGGAATTCAATCGCGTAAATTTAAATGAGCTGTCCACCCACCTCCATCCAACCACAGCCGATTTTACATTTCAGCGATCTGATCCAAAAAACTAAAACATTATCGTGAATAATTTTGGTCGCGATAGCCTACGCGTTTAAAACGTGATGAGCACTTGGGTTGTTCGGGGGAAAAGCTCGTGTTCATTTCTGATAGAATGGTGTGGCGTATCGTCTGAATGTACCCTTCCCCCTGGGTTTTTAGGTTTGTCCCGTTTTGTATGTTGATACGTTTTCAGAAAGCCTGATTGACGACTGCTTTCTTGTTTTCGTA